GTGCAAATGAGATCTATCCCACAGGTGAAGCAGATCAGCAACATCCAGAAGGGTTAGTATTACTTTGATTCACACGCTAGATATCTGTTCACGACTAACATGACTTGACACAGACTCGAGGGAACCCTCCTACCGTGGATGACAGATTTTCGAAAACATTTGCTGGATAGACATCCTCTCCCTGCTGGACAGCACCCGATCCCAGACGATGTGCAGCTCCCACCAAAGTGGAAGTTGCAGATGGCGGGAGAGAATGGTTCGGTCCCAATACCCCAAGCTGCCGTCGCAAATGAAAATCAAGCTTTTACGGATGAATATCCGGGACTACACCATCTAGACCATGACTCCCGACCCATCCCACATACACTATGTGCGAAATTGACTGAAAATCGGCGTGTGACTCCGCAAAAGCATTGGCAGGATGTGCGTCATATCACCCTGACCGTCCCAGACTTTGTCTCTTACGTTCCTGGAGACATGATCGCCATCACACCGAAAAGCTCTTCGATTGATGTCCAAACCCTCATTGACTTGATGGGTTGGAACGATCAGGCAGATCAACCAATCTGTCTCGTTCCAACAGGAGATATTCCATCACCACCACCTATTCCTAACCTTGACTCATATCCCAATCTCACCCTCCGTGCCCTCCTCATAGACTATCTCGACGTTAAAGGAATACCCCGCCGATCCTTTTTCTCCACAATCGCACACTATACCAACGATGAAAGACACAAAGAACGGTTATTAGAATTCACAAATCCCGAATATCTCGACGAGCTATGGGATTACACGACACGCCCACGACGTAGTATACTTGAGATCCTGCATGAGTTTGACACTGTCAAAATTCCCTGGCAACACGCGATAGCCGTTATCCCGGCTATGCGTGCCCGCCAGTTTAGCATTGCCAGCGGGGGAAAACGCAAGCAGACTGCTGATGGCAATACACAATTCGAACTACTCATTGCCATTGTCAAATACCAGACAGTGATCAAGAGAATCCGTGAGGGAGTCTGTACCAAATACCTCTCCGTCCTGCGGCCAGGCAGTACCCTCCAGATCCAGCTGCAGCCTGGTGGTCTTAAATCTTCAGTCCAGCAACTGACCGCAGCAACCGTGCTTATTGGACCGGGCACTGGAATTGCACCCCTGCGCTCCATGCTCTGGGAGAAAGCAGCACTCGTGCAGGCTTATCGCGAGCAAAACCCTGGCGTCAGCCCACCAATTGGTCCTACAATTCTCCTGTATGGAGGCCGAAACCGAGAATCCGACTTCTTCTTCGAGAAAGAGTGGACGGAGCTCAGCAAGCTCATCCCGCTGCAGGTACTTACTGCTTTCTCGCGTGACCAGCAACGCAAGGTCTACGTGCAAGATACCGTGCGCGAGAACTTCCCGCTCTTCTTTCGTGTTTTGCATGATATGCAAGGGTCGGTTTATATTTGTGGTTCATCGGGTCGCATGCCTCAAGCTGTGCGCGAGGCGCTAATCGAAGCCTTCCAGCATGGAGGAGCTCCTTCACCGGGGCAGCCTTTCACCCGTTCCCAGGCTGAGGGTTATCTCATTGGCATGGAACAAATTGGCCGCTACAAACAAGAAACTTGGTGATCAATGTGAATATTTGGTTTTCATCACAGCGGGATATGAGACATTTTCCACCCATGTGTACATGTATTTATGGAAAGATATCCACGGGTGCATATTAGCAAAAGGTCACCATTTACGATGCAAAACAATTTCAAGCTTTAAACCAGCATGGACTCCTCAAGTTCAATTTTATTATAAGGAACAGCCGATTATTTTAAAAACACCTAATCTAAAATCTTAAATGTGTACCATGAAACATTTCCTACTCACTATCGGCCGTAGTTGCTGCCTCGGGCTTCCATTGTTTTCCATATAGCCATGTTGGAATTGGAAGGCGCGAGTGAGAAGGACACGATTGATGTTCTTCAGATTGCTTTAGAATACTTTATCTCAATCACCATCAATATACGTAGTAAAGGCCTCTGCACGGTTCATGATTTTTACCACCTTTGTATACATCTAAAATAAGCAAAAACACGTTGGTATGTTCTTACCTATAACGCTCATAATATCATTCAAGGCCAAATAGATGGATCAGATCGATCAAGTCTTACAGAGGCCATATAAGCGGCCGACTATTCTTGTCTCAATAGCCTTTTCACTATGTAATGTCATTTTTGGCCCTCAAACTCGCTGAGATTCGGCTTCGGTAGGACCGAATCTGAGAATCCGAGTGCACACTAAAGAAATACCAGCGTCCATACCCAGCTTACTCGTGCCGAATAGATAGGATAACCTCTAATAAATGATCATGAGGGTACATATCCGAGTCTTTTTCTGATCGAAGTTGAATCAATCACTCTATCGCTACTGACACAGAAAGTATGTACATAGTGTAGTTCTCCTCGGTATAGGGTAAATTCTCTATCTATGTTGTCTTGCTGTAATTTATATCAAGTGTGAAGCCTACTATTGGATATAAAATCTTTATTCGTATGACATAGTTCATCAAGATTCAGTTCATTGATTAATCGCAGTGATACCCACAGTAGAAATGACCAGCTTCAAATAAGTAGCTAGTATACATATCTAAATTGATGCATCTCCCTGTCTGTCTTATCCGTCAGGTTCAGAGAAGCCAGGCCAACAGGCTCACCGTCTTCCCCAAACCCTTCCTCTGGAATCTGCATGCTGTCTCGCTTCTTGTTCTCCCAGATGCAGTAAAATCGTAGTATTATAGTGATAAATGCAGAGAAAGCGAAGCAAACGACCATTCCCGCAAATCCAGAAGAATAACTGGGCGCTTCTCTGGCGAACATGATCTGCGGTCCGACAATGTTTCCAGCGCAGTATGCGATGAAAACCTGGCAAAATACAAATGTTAAAAGGATACCTTCAAGTTGGACAAAGCGTGGAGACTTACCACTGCTGTGACAGTTGTCTTTTTGGTAAAACCCGCTGTGTTACTTGTGATCATTGCCATCGTAAGAGGAAAACTGGCCGAGAAAGCAACGATAAGACAGTACCCCATAAAGCGAGACCAGATGTGCTCGGGATTGATCTGTCGAATCATGACTGTGCCAATCAGAGACATTATAGTGTTGAATGTCATCCAATATGTACGAGTGTTTTTCAGATAAGTGCTACCGATGGCAGAAATTGCGACGAAAACGATTTGGAATCCGGTACCAATCATTTGAACAAGAAGAGTATCGAGTGTGCTGAAGCCAAATCCTTCGACAACAATCGAGGCAAACTAGGAAGAACAAAACAAGTCAGAGATGATTCCACGATATAAACGAGCTCCGTGAAAATAAAAGACATACTGAACCAACACCGCCGTTAGGCACGGTTTGCGTAAACTGAAACAATGCAAGAAGCCAAGTCTTTGGATCTAGCAGAGCTTCGATAACTTGATATCGCTTGATATGATGACTTTTGATCCCAGTCATGTTTTCCTGAACACGCTCTACTGCTTTGACTTGGTCCTCGATTGGAAGAAACCATGCGCCCATGGGGCTGTTGGGAATTGCGAACCAGCAAATCACCGACCAAACGAAGGTAAGGCCCCCAAAAAGTATAAAAAGTGCCTTCAACCCGATAACGCTGTTAGTTTTATGACTTTCCAGGTAGAAGATTGTAACATTTTCTTACCTTCCATGCTGCAATGCCACTTATGTGCCCAACACCATATCCCAGCAGGCCACCAATTAGACCTCCGAAAACGTTGCCCATGAACCATGCAGATTGGCGCATAGGCTGCTCGGATTTCTTGTACCACATAGATATAATAAGGCTCATAGAAGGAGCGATACTTGCCTCAGTGAACCCCAGGAAGAAGCGCGCGACCCACAAACCATGGGCATTTTTGCACAGGACAGTCAACATGAGGATAGCCGCCCAAACTCCCCTATTTTTTTTATAAAGAGATTAGTGTCTTGTTCTGGCTTGATGAATTGATATCCTCACATGGCTGCCGACATGAAGCGGCCAACAGGTAAACGAATAATCAACAAAGCCACGATTCCCGAGGCAACCATATATCCAAAGTAAAATAGACTAGATGCCCAAGAATAGTCTTGGCCCACAAGATGTAGGTCAGTTCGTAGGCCGAGAATGGCGCTATATCCCATAGCCTGTTTGTCGAGATACTGAAGCAGGTACGAGAGGAAAAGGACGGGAATTAAGCTGGTCATGAATCAGTTTCAAAGCGAGATTCTTGCGGAGGATAACATGGGAGATATGAATACCAGATATCAATTCTGCGGAGAATGCGACGATCCTCTTCGGGAGACAAAGGCATACCCAGTTGAGACTGGTAGTTCTCCAGTGCCTGAAGCGTATCATCAGCATCTTCGATGTTGACTTTGGAGATATCCTTTGTATCATTGGAAATGACAGCCGGAGCTGGCTGATCTAAACGATTGATCATGAGAAGCAAAATGGAATCTCGAGTTTACTAAGAGTGTGTTGTTGAGAATAGCGGCAGTTTCTTTTATCGAGTGAGTTTGAGCCTGAGGGCGCATTCAGTGTTTTTATACCCCGCAAAGAGCATTGGCACTTCATAGCTATTGCACATTAAGACCTCAGAAATGAATTGACTCGGCAACCGCACTTTGGCAATTGACACTTCGTATCTGTTCCCGAACGCCAATCTTCCACCTTTTCTTATCTCTACTACCATTCGGCTTCGGTAGGGCCGAATGCCGAAGTTAAAATGTTCAGGAAAGATGGACTGCAATATCTATCCTCTTCGAGAAAAGTGACGCTCGGATACAGGAAATCAATATTAGTGGCAAGAACGGAAAATCGGATTTTTCTGGCTGTCATGGGCCGGCAATCGATCTAAGCCCCGCCACATATATAACCTAGTTTTTCCGCAAGAATCCAGTCAAAAAATCGTAGTATCACAATTATGTCTACTGCCACGACGACGGTATCTTCTCACAATCAAATACTACCAGAGCCTCAAAATGCACTGTATGTCCCTTCACATTCTCCCCCTTCAATATTCTTTGGTTCAAGGGTGTTGGCTGATTATGGATTGATTTATAGTGCAAGTGCAAAAGCTGGTGACTGGCTCGCTGAACTTCGTGATAATGGGTTTGCAGTGATCAAAGGTGCAATCCCACAAGATCGGGCCATCACCTATCAACAAAAAGCTCGTCAGTGGCTGAAGTCATTCGGTAACAATGAGCTGGACTATGAAAACCCAGAGACATGGTTGGCAAAGAATCTCCCTGTCCAGAGCACTATCAACACCTTCAGTGCCTATGCAGTCGCCCATGAAAAGTTCATGTGGGATGCACGCATGGAGGCGGGAGTAATTGAAGCCTTTTCCAAAATCTGGGGCACTGAAGAACTGCTAGTTAGCTTCGACAGTCTGAACATCACTTTCCCAAACCGAAAGGATGTCTCGCGGATGGGTGCCTGGGAACATGTGGACCAGAGTCCCTTCCGACGTGGTATGCATTGTGTCCAAGGAATCATCAATCTCTCAACGGCTGGTCCAGATGATGGAGGACTTGTAGTCTACCCTGGCTCCCATCGTCTGGTAGATGAGTTCTTTGATACTCAATCAGACAGTTCGACATGGTCAACTAAAGATCTGTTTTGGCTTGACCAGACAAAGCTCGACTGGTTCAAGGCAAGGGGATGTTCCCCCCACAAGGTCTGCGCGGATATTGGCGATTTGATCGTGTGGGATAGCCGCACTATCCATTACGGCAGTGAGCCGGCTGAGACCAGCCAAACTATCCGTACTGTTATCTATGCTGCCTACTCTCCTGCAAGATTTGCATCCACGGAGACTTTGCAGTGCAAATCGGAGGTATTCTCCAGGTATGGAGGTACCACGCATTGGCCTCATGATAACGTCGTTGTTCGCAAAACTTTTGCTATGCTTCCTGATGGAACTAGAGACCCAAGGGATCGCGAAGAGCCCCTTGAGCCTCCTCAAATTAGTGATCGGTTACTGAACCTTGCTGGAGTGAAGTCATATTAGACCCAATATGACGCTGAGTCTGAGCGCCCTCATAAAAGCGGCAGCCAAGAAAAGAAAGCTCCCTCCCGCAGAGGAAATACACTTCGTAGAATTACCTAGATAGTTGGGCCATAATGATATTGCTTTCTGTTCCTCCAATGTCCTTAATATTTGATGCCATTCTTAGCCAATGTCCGAAACAGCAACATAGCGGTTTCTCATGTGATCTAAGGCGATTGTCTAGAAATCAATCCCATTTGCGGGCGCATCATGCAGCCGTCGTTTTCATCTTTGTTGCTTCTTAGGTCATTCTAATGTCCTTTATGGCTTAAGGAGGAGCCCTGGAGAGTATAATTTATTCTTTATATATACTAGAGTGGGCAATGAAGGTGTTGAATGAAACCGCACATGGTGTCGGAATCAGCCCCTCAATTAGAAGATGTGGAACGATATACAGCGTATTTTACCACTACAACATAAAACATAATAACCAAGGTACTTATTTAAGGCCTAGGGGGGCTATATTCGTAGTTTAAAAGAAAACAACAGGAAAGACTTATATGAGGGTTAGGCCTCGACACAACTATAAAGTTCATGACCGTGTCACCCAATGATAGTAGGCTATTTTTCTCACCTGGGCAGTCTTGTCAAATGCAAAACAATATTCATTGTCACAATATGTAGGCTGTATGGTTAACCTCGGCAGGTTCGGTGGTATGACTACGGAGGAGAATTGCGGCCATCAGCAACATCGGCAACCCTATATCACTTCCATAGCTAATGGTCGCCCTGTTCTTTTTCTATTAGACTTGTCCATGTGTCCTCTTTCTTTTCTTCTCGTCATTGTTGAGAGAACTTGCTTGTGACCTTCAAATCCTGTTGTTTATCTTGATACGGTTTGCCAGGAGAGAGAGCAAGTGTGCGGAGTACAAAAAAGGATCATGAACGGTGACATGTATATAGATAGAGGAAGAGATTGTCAAGGGGTAGTACATAATAAAGTGAGCAATGAGTATTTATTACTTCGCACATGGTCTCCCTGCTGTATTGCCTCCTTTTATCTTCGGATACTATGATTTGCTGCCATGCCTTACTTTTAGACATTGTACCATACAGTTTCTAGAGTGCTAGTGACTGCTAGCTAAGGGTAGACAATCTGGAGCTCCGCTTCACAAAATCAAGATTTAGCAATACAAATCTCCGAAGGATACTCGATACCTTAAAATGTACATGAACTCGAGGCTCCGATCCCAAGCGTGTGTTATCATGATGGCCGCAAATGCTTACGGTAGTGTGAGGAGTCCGTGGTGCGACGAGGGTTAAACTCGGGCCGCGTCGGCGTTTTTGATTTCTTGGCACTCCGTCACCGCACGCTTTCTTCCTCCGAGCCTCCAAACTTCCTTACATCAACTTAGGAATTGGTCGTTGCTCGACTATTGATTACACAAAATGAGTGGTCTAAGGATATTGGTGCCTGTCAAGCGCGTGATTGACTATGCGGTGAGTTAAAAGCCAATTCAACTATGGCCCCTCCAAGCGCAGCTTCGGGCGACCGATGCTCGGAGCTGTACCTTTCAACCAACAGGGTCTCCATAACCCCCCACCACTCACTTTGGGATCGGGAATATTTCGACTGACGCCGACGTTTGAACCCAACAGATCAAACCCCGCATCAACAAAGCCCAGACCGGTGTCGAAACCGCTGGTGTCAAGCACTCCCTGAACCCATTTGACGAGCTCTCAATCGAAGAGGCTGTCCGCATTCGCGAGCGCAAGGGCCCCATTAAGGTCGAAGATATCCTCGCACTCTCCGCCGGTGGCCCGAAATGCCCTGACGTCCTCCGCACCGCCATGGCCATGGGCGCTGACCGAGCCTTCCACATTGACGTACCGGACAAGGGCGACGGTGGCCTGGAGCCACTGACCGTCGCTAAGATGCTGCAGGCCGTTGTTAAGGATCAGAATGTGAACCTCGTGCTGCTGGGTAAGCAGGCTATCGATGGTGATCAGGGTCAAACTGGTCAGATGCTTGCTGGTCTACTTGGGTGGCCCCAGGCTACGCAGGCCAGCAAAATTGATATTAAGGACGAGGCTGGTACCGTTGAGATTACCCACGAGGTCGATGGTGGTGTTGAGACTCTCCGCGCCAAGCTGCCTATGGTTATCACTACGGATCTGCGGTTGAACGAGCCGCGGTACGCGAGCTTGCCCAACATTATGAAGGCCAAGAAGAAGCCCCTTGAGAAGAAGACTCTTGCCGATCTCGGTGTCGAGGATACACGGCGGTTGAAGACTCTGAAGGTTACTGGTATGTGCTTCTCGTGGTTCTGCTATTTGGTTCGTGGGATTGAGCTAATATTCTGTAGAACCCGCGCCACGAAAGGGTGGTGGCAAGGTCGAGGATGTCGATGGCCTTGTTTCCAAGCTTAAGGAGCTGGGTGCGTTGTAAATGCGCTAAGCTTGTTCTTGATTACCCTGTGTTTCTATACCATCGCCTTTGAAATGTTACCCACTAGATTTTGGATTCGTCTTGCGCATTTCTCCCACAGTTTCTGATGGCCCTGCTGTGTGGCGAGGCATGTGTGCATGTATTGGATGCTAGATCTTCATATAAATCAAAACATATTCTTTTTAATTGATAGTCTGTACTAGGTCCACTAGTTCCAATTGGCGTTGTGTTCAATTAGGCATCCTTTCTGTAAGCGTTTATAGTCATAGCTCGCAGGGAGTCGCACTACTGCAACGTCGTGGGTCATAATCCGCCACAGCGGCGCTAGAGTGGCTAGATCTAGATCTCGTTTGCGGTTGAGGAACTATGTACGAAGTAATAGCCACCCCGTATAGGTATGATCATATATGTATTACTCTTCCGACCCAACCTTGGAAGGTCTATTTATTGAATCCTGGCAAAACTAACCAATCGGAACTCTACAGCGCCCAAGTTGCATCTCAGGCCGAGGCAATACTTCCATTCTCAGCCACAGTGCCCAACTCTCCCCGATTGGTTGTGATGAAATGTTCCGAGAGCCTCTCAGCTAGAATGAATTTCTTAAGGCTTGATTAACATTGGAACATCACTCAGTAGTTAAGGGTACGTTACATAATTCTCGAATTTCCCCATCGAGCCAAGTACATTAGCGTAGATGTGTTATGATATCAGCACAAAAGATTGATCTTGCATTATAATATGTCCTTGGTACCCTGGCGATAGACCGGATTATGCGCTGGCGATATCTCAGCTGAAAAGATATCTAATCTCAAATCACTATTCCATGTGGAGTACAGGGTAAACCGAGCCGACGGATGCGTACATTGCCTATAGCGTGGTCGATCGCTCAGCCTCGGTTGAGCTGTCATCTATGGGATCCACTGGGGCTTGAATATGCATCAGGTCAAAGGGAACAAATTAACAATAGCAATAACAATGTCTTGTTGTATTTGTAAGGTTCAATTCTCTCTTTTTTCCCCCAGGATGGAATACGAGTGGATATGTAGAAAAGTCTAAGGAAATACCTTGACACGCGTTCTGGTCCTAGAGGCTAGAGCTTTTTAATTTTTCCAGGTGGGGGTATGAGGTATGTGATTATCTGGACTGGTCATTTCTGAGAGTCGGATGTACAAGAAGTCAGATATTATTCCAAATGTAATCCGATTAATATAGTGTCTACTAAATACTATATACAGAGTAAATAGTAAATAGTAAATAGTAAATAGTTTCTACATATGTACTAAAATACATACATACTGTAATCGCAAAGAGATAAAAACCCCGAAAAACCGAAAAAAACCAGCTGATCCATGGATGATGACATTGCCTCTCCGAACCTTGGAACCATGGAAGCCATATTGTTCTGGTCCAGGCCCTTAAGTATTAAACCACTTCCGTCTGACCCGGATTGGAAATCTTTACTTCTTCCTCTCTCTGTCTTTCTAATTTCTACTACCTTTCCCATATTTCTGAATAAAGTTTCTATACGTTCGCAAACACATTCCTCCCCGCATTCTTGAGTTACGCAGATCTCACCAGATTCCTCGATCCAGGAAACATTCCCGACAGTAAGAATCTGTCGGGATTCATGCTGTTCGCGGCGCAAGTCGTGTTTCAGATAGTGCCCTGTGTATAGATCTCGTCTTGAGCCTTTCGCGGCGCAAACCGCATCCATTTCTTTTTTTGTTACTTCTTCAATCACCCTATAATAACATTACAAGTCTCTGCTGTCTGGCAGTCACTCACCATGGCTCCAAATCGGTGGGAGAAGACCAAAAGCATCTCAAAAAAAGGATTTGACAAAGCATGGGACACCGTCGACAAGCTCGGCGGCCCCGTCAATCGCCTATCGCACAAGTTGGGCGCCGAAGCCTTCTGGCCCATGACACTCGACAAGGAAGCCGACAAAGCCGCGCGCATCCTACGCAGCTTCTGCAAAGACGGCTTCTATGCTCCCGATTCCTCAACCGGCACCGATGAGTATGGCAAGATCAATCGCCCCAAGGGCAAGCAGCGCGTCATCCAGAAGATCCCAACGCAAGTCCTCAAAAATGCGAAGGGAGTTGCCATTTTCACGACCATGCGCACAGGTCTGTGGATGAGTGGTTCTGGTGGTAGTGGCGTGCTGATCGGTCGCCTCCCCGAGACCGGCGCATGGAGCCCGCCATCCGGTATCATGCTACACACTGCCGGGATAGGCTTCCTCGCTGGTGTTGATATTTATGACTGTGTGGTAATCATTAACACCTATGAAGCCCTGGATGCATTTAAGAAATTCCGCTGCACGCTCGGGGGTGAGGTCAGCGCAGCCGCGGGTCCCGTAGGTATAGGTGGTGTCCTCGAATCCGAGGTGCATAAACGCCAGGCACCAATTTGGACATATATGAAGAGCAAAGGGCTGTACGCAGGTGTTGCGGTCGATGGCACGATTATCATTGAGCGAACCGACGAGAACGAGCGCTTCTACGGTGAGCGGATATCAGTCGACCAGATTCTATCCGGCAAAGTCCGGCATCCACCCCGCGAGCTCCAAACCCTCATGCAAACCCTGAAGGCCGCACAGGGAGACTCTGACGTCGACGAGAGTCTTGTCCCGCCACCGGGCGAAACACCTGGCGATATGGAGCTGACGGAGGATGGACAACCTCCCTTCGGGGTGCCGGCTGTGGACGACCCCGATCCGTATGGAGTGAAGGCGCTGGAGGCGGAGGGGCTTTTCATCCGCGAGGCCGGCACAAAGGTGAGACCAAGCCATGAGACATTTGAATTCCGGCCCAACCTGGATAGTCCCATCTATAGCACTTTCTCGCGCCGTAGCATGGACAGCTCTCCACGCAATAGCTGGCGCGCGAGTGTGCAGAGCGCCAGGAGCTATGCTAGTGTCGACCGTGGCACGCAGACGGAAGACGCCCCGCTAACTGAGCCCACATCAGTGAGCCGTGCTTCTTCCCGCAGCGCGAAGGGATCGTCTATTGGCCGTCCACCGATGAATACCTGGATCGAAAATGAAGACCCCCACTGGGACACGATAGCTATCCACGGCGAGGAAGAGCAGGTGAAGGTCCGCCAATTGGAGGGCAAGGAGGCGGAGGATAGGAAAGCGAAAGCGAAAGCCTGCGAAGATGCCCACGAGGACCCTGAGTTTGAGGATGAAGATGAGCACTATGAGATCCACGAGGTTGGAAATGCCACGGTCACCCCAAGGGAGAGCGTCCCGCCTTCGCCCACGAAGGTGGAGGACCAGACGACAGACGGTGAGACCAAGCCTACATCGCCAAGCTTCACCCGGGCTCGTCTGGTCACAATCCCCGCGCGCACCCCACCTGCCTTGCCTCCGCGGCACCCACGCCATGTCCCGGCATCTGGCTCAAGCCGTGCCTCGACATCGCCTACGGGGCGCTCGTATTCAAGCCATAACACCTCGCCCACAGACGTCACCGAGGCAGCTGAGAATCTCGAACAGTTGGATAAATCCCCCCACGCGCTTCCCTCCTCAGAGAAGGCCAAGACCTCTCCTGAGGTTCCTGTCACAAGCGATGATGAGGAGTTTGTTGATACGAAATCGGAGCCCGTGGCCGAGAAGGACGAGTTCCAATCTGCCAATGGCGAGTCAGAGATTGAGGATAACATTATTACCCTTGAAGACCACACTGCCACCGAGACCACCGAGAAAGGGAGCAAGACGAACAAAGGAGACGAGCAGGAAGTTGAACCTGAGCAATCTCCTCGACTTGAAAAGTCTCCCGATGTCCCCAAGCTTGCACCTAATATTGAGGATACCCCGGAGGTCGAAGAGACCCTCGACAAGATCGAAGCTAAGCTTGAAGCTGAGATCGAACAACCCGAAGGGCAGAAGTCCGAGAAGTCATATTCACACGTCCTTGCTGATCGCGAAGAACACGAAGAGTCCCCCGGTGGGACTAAAGTCGGTTCTACCGATGCCACCTTGCCCCATGCCAGGGCTCAGTGATCTTGCGTTTTGATGAACAACTGTTTTTCTACTTCCTCTTTACACTTGCCTCGGCCTTCTCGTTTCCATATTTTTCTTGAAACACACCTTGTCACGATACCTCATTCGCATTCTATACACATCTGAGTCATTTGGGAGTTCTCGGATCTTCCAGGCTCGACCTTTCTATGCCTATTCCATACCCATTTCTCACCTCCAAAATCGGGTTTCATCTTGTTGTTTTTCCATTGATTTTAGCGTGTCTGCATTCTAGCGAGTGGGGAGTATTTGTTTTTTTTCCTGGGTCAGGTCGATGGGGAAGGTCTGTTTGGAGAGCTTTCGCTCGAGGTGCATTATATCCTGTTTCCCGGATTTGGAACACACTCCTTTATACGTTCATCTTTGGTTTTTATTCCTGGCTTTAGTCAATTAAATATCTTTACGTCAATAATTATTTAGTGCAGGTTTGTCAAATAGTTTACCACCTCCTATTTCTAGTTATTCTGCATCCTCCTGTCTGGACGTTAACTTCCACAGTTGTTCCCCTCCCGTTTTCCACTTGCGACTAAAACGTTTAGAGGGAATCTCAACAGGTATGCATTGATCTGAAATTTTCACTCTACATTTCTATGCTGTCTTTGTCGAGTACAACTGCCAGAACATGTCCCGCCTACTCAAAAGCTCTTGCGGTGCTCCTAATTCAGATACTGTACCGTGATTCATGACCATGACCAAATCCGAATCCATCACAGTGTTGATTTGATGGGTAATTGAGATTATAGTCCGTCCTTTCAGCTTCTCACGAAGAAGCCCTGTAGCCAATCTCTCGGTATGTTCATCAAATCCGGCCGTAGGCTCATCCATGATGACGATCCGACCAGGAAATAGAACAGCACGGGCAATGCATAAAATCTGTCTTTGGCCATTGGATAGATTAGTTGCATCGATATTCGCGCTCAGGCCGCCATGGTCTCGAATTTGATACCAAAGTCCGACTTCCTTCAACGCAGATACCATCGCTGAATCATCGATAGTTGATGTTATTCCCATGGCAAGGTTTTCACGGATTGAACCGGGAATAACCAATGGATTTTGAGAAATTGGGACCAATGCAGAGTGAAGCTTCTCTTCGGGAAGAGTTGAGATATCGATACCATCAATGAAAATTTGGCCAGATGTGATCGTCACGAGAGAGAAAAAGCAAGCAAGCAAAGAACTCTTTCCACTGATCGAGTTTAGTCGTCACTCATTTTAAGGGCTTTGCTAGCCTTACCTTCCGGTTCTCCCACAAATCCCTAGTTTCTGGCCGCCCTCTAGGCTAAATGAGACACTTCGCAATACAGGGGTGGAAACATGTCCCCTAGGAGAAATCTTAGTCCTTGGTTCAATTGACTTTCCTCGAAGGTGATGCTCAAACAAAGACTTACCCATATGATGCAGAAACCTTTCGAAATTCCACTCGACCTTCCCACGGCCAACCCTCTGGACAAGCTATCTCGTTCCTAGCCGGTTGTAGTTGCAGGTCTGTGACGAATTGCTTGACTCTCACAATAGCCCCTAGAGAAGTCTCCAACTGTGTCCAGTTCGTGATTAACGATGTCAATGTTGCGTTGAATGAAAGCAGGTTCACAAGAGCAACGCCGAGGGCTCCAGAACTAGTCTTCTTGCTCACAAAAACAGCCAGTGTAACTAGAACGGTCGCAAGCCCTGCCATAAGGAGATCCAAAACAACCTGCAGCCACTGCTGAATGGAGTACATAGTGTAAAATGGCTTCTGGGACTTGTCGAGAAGCTCGGCATTTTGATCTGCAAATCCTTGCTGCCAACGAAGTGCACGGATAGTTGTAAGACCCTCTGTGGTTTCCAAGAATTGGGCGTAAAGGGGAGCCTTTGCTTCTAGATCAAGGAGTCTGACCTGCCGGGAAGTACGCAAGTAGAAAGCTTGGATTGTCCATACTGCCACAATGCAGAATGGGATAACGACAGACATGTAGCCTGATCCAGTAGCTATCAAGGCGCCTTGTGCGATACAAGTCAAAACGTCTGCTCAAGAGTTAGTAATTAAGATTAAACAAATTTGAAGCATCGGAGATCACGAACTCTGAAGACTTATGCCGAATGCAACAGGAAGCTGCATGTCAAGAAGTGACATGTCCTGGCTAAACCTAGAAGCAATCAGTATCCGTTGAAAATGAGATTTCGTGGCGTCTCACACAGAAGTCTTACCTATTGATGAGATCACCTGTATCTATCCGAGCCACGCGAGGCCAAGGTGCTCTAGAAAGCTCTTCAGTAAGAAATTCAGACCTATATCTAGTGGGTCTTGATCTCTCACCTCATGACCGCGTCCAGAAAAATTCGATGTAGCTGGACAGCTGACCTGGGAACAGCCCAGACAAAAAAGAATCTAAGATGCGTGAGAAATCTCTATGAACATATTGAGTGGAGTGCGTTAAACATACCCAATAAAGGCGCCCATCGCAATGACGGCAATAGATGATATACCGACGTAGGAACCGAGATATGTATAATTCTTTTGGGGGGCTGAGGCACACCACCAGCTCAGTATAACCTCTGCAACGGATATTTAGCAACTATTTCTCTGGGTGGGGCCACGGAGATACTTACGCGGAAAGGAAATGCAGAACACGAATAGAGATGCGAATACCAGCGTTAACCCAAACACCCACCAGCCAAACGATCTGATATAGTAGGTGTAGAGCGAGATGTCCCCACCACCTCGGGGTGTGTTAGGAACTGTCTCTCTTTCAGCGGTCTCTCTGGCTTTTTGCTTCACTTCCTGTACTTCCTCAAGCCTGGAAACACTCTCTTCGCTTTCTTCTTCGATACTGTTGTCTTCGGAGCTTATTGAGCAAGAAAGGCTCTGTATGTACTCATTTTTCCTCGCCAGTTCGTCGAAACGCCCTTTACCTTCCACACGACCATCTTTTGAAAGAACAATCAGATTGTCCGCTTCTTTCAAATGTTGCACTATTGATATAAAAAAGTTGTCAGCGCCGTGATTATTTATTTGAGCATACTAGACTCACCTGCTGTTATCACAAGAATGGTAGCCATGCCGATCCTTCTAGCCAGGCCAGCACGACCAAGCACTTGCTGGAAGACTGTCCTTGATGTCACTGTATCCAAGGGGCCAAAACAGTCATCTAAAACCAGTAAAGATGGCCTCGCGTATATTGCTCTGGCCAAAGCCTAAATTCACGCGAATTAGTAGCTAGAAAAAGCTAAAAGAATGTTTATCGGTATATTTACCACTCGCTGCTTCTGTCCTCCACTTAGCTGGGCTCCTGAGTTCCCAGCAACTGTGTCAAGTCCGAGAGGAAGTGTTGTGGCTTCAATACCCAGGTCACAGGCATGTACCACCTCATCAAGCCATTTTTCGTCAGCGTGAGATTCTCCGATAATGTTCGCTTTTAGTGTGCCATTGAATATCCACGGATTCTGCTTGCAATACGCCATTTTGACCGAACTAACGGACAGACTCCCTTCTCTTAAATACATTTCGCCGAGTATTGCTTCGAGTAAGGATGACTTGCCAGAGCCAATAGGGCCAGTCACCGCTGTGTATGAAGCATACTGCATCTTCAGTGTTATCCCATGGAGAATCGCTGGGCTATCCAGGCCCAAGCTGAAGCTACAGTCGGCCATACAAACAAGGGGCCGGGACTGAGCCGATACTGAGTTAAGCTTCGTTCCTGAAGCGTTCTCAGGCGCTACCCATTCACCCCTTACTAGGACCTCATTCGCTCGGCTGTCCTTCTGAAGAAATTCTTGGATCCGATCGAAACAGCCAGTAGCGGATGTGAATCTTGTCCATGAGACCGATAATAGCACTACCGGGTTTGTCAGAAGTGAAATTAAGGATAAGGACGTGAACACAATATCAGTGCTAGGTGTCTCTAGCCCAAGCTTCAGCTTTGTAGCGGCATACACGGCTATTGTCACAGGGGTGAGAGCAGTCGATAGCGCGCCCAAAACATTCACACCGACAATCATTGATCGATAGGGCTTAGATTGACGTAGCTCCGATTCGCGAAGTCTGTGTATCTTAAGGCCTATATCGGACTCGGCACCGAACATTTTGATCTGGCGCAGTTCTTTGAGTATCACCGAAGTGAAACTGACTCTCTCTTGAACAGCTTGCACCCAAACCTTTTGCCATTGCCGCATTTGAGGAGCGAGATATGAGGACCCTAGTACGCTCACTTATTTTGGTCAGTTTTCAGTTTCTATATATTTTCATCACCGAGTTTGCAAGAACCTACCCAAAGCCACAGCCAGAGCAGCAACCGAGGGGTATCCAACGGATCTACTTAGAAGCACAAGCGCAATCACAATCTCTACCGGTGATGCCCAGAGCTCGTGGAAGTTCAACAACCCGGTAACAATCCGATCAACATCGGTGCTCATTAAGGTGGTCGAATGTGTCTCTTGACATCGACCTGAAGCTTGGCGAAGGGTCTTCTCATATATCATCGCAACTAACGATCCACGAGTCATAGTGACCATGCGAATAGATTGGCGCTTGAAAAGAGCAGTGCTTAGCTACAATGGTCAGCAATCGAAGGAATCGGTCCAGCGAGGGACGTATAGACTACTTACTGCTATCCCTACATAAATCAACACCGTCGCGCCGATGAAGCCATACTTGACCCCGGATAGCTCACTAGAGCCGTTGTCGGACACGTAATTGATAAGGTCGTTAATGAGAAAGGGCTGGGCAAACTTGAACCCAATCAAACAAAGGCGAGGGACGACTGCTGCTGCTACCGTCCATTTCAGGTCGTAAATGATATTACGGAAAAGTGCTAGCCGTCGAGTTGGTTTTTCTAGTAGTTATAAGTCAGTCTCCAATTCTAATTCAAATCATCCAAGTCAACTTTATTACCTTTCCATCGGTGATCACCGTGGGAAGTGAGAGATTTAGTCAACAGTTCCTTGTCTAGGGGATAGAGGTCATCAAGGGATAGCTCGTCTCGGAAGCCACTTATAAACAGCCCGTTGAGCCACCAGTAGGTACTCTGACTGAAGATCCCGGTGAGATTTTCTGGAGATATATGGCCGTATTGAGGGCTTAGAGTTTCTCTGTTTTCGCTCGTCTCTAATACGAGTAATAGGGACCGGATCACGAGAGCAGCAGTAGATATCGCCGCGATAGAGTAGCTTATAGGATGGAATAACCACAAAGTCCGTACTTGCGCAATTTCAAATATGATGCCCCCTAGAAGATATAGGCAGATCAAACTTAGAGGCTTCAGGGAACGTGCATGGTCATAGTGCGAAAGTAGTAACAGCGCCATAGTGCTAACCATGCCCACCGCAGCGGACGCAACTGAGATCTTTGTTACCAGAAACTGCGGTAAACACCATAGAATAAGGAGAACAAACTTCAGCGCTAGCATTAGCGTATAGAATACCTTTATGAAATCCCAAAAAAACATCAGCTTTCAAGCTTCCTTAGCAGCTCTCCCCTAGGAAAGCGAAAATAGAGACCGACCGTCTTGTAAGTGCTAACCGCCCCGCGGCGTATCTCTTTTCGCTTCCCGCGAATAAAGTACCACCGACAAAAGCATAGAATGAGGAATGACAGGTCGGGAACTAAAGCGAGGATCCCCTGCTCGAAGAGTAGTGTAAAGTCGAAGTCGCGACGACAAGGCGACACTCTTGGACCGAAGTGAGTATCAGCAGAAATATCACACTGCATCTTGACTTTTCTTGGTGCACGCAAACAAGACGAGTTAGCAGAGATGGAGGAGGGGAAAGCATTACGCAGGTAGAAATCCAGGGAATGCGTGATGGAGCCTGAAAATGTTCTTTGTGCTGCAGGGGTGTGGTTGCGGCGCGCTACTTGTCTAGTAAAACACCAAACCCTGGCTGATTGGATTGGCCGTGAGCATTTTGATAAGCTAGTCGACGCCAACCGATGTCGAATACGACGCTGGCAGCGCCTCAACTCATTAACTGACCAATTCCCTTCTTTTGGCTCAGTACTATTCTGCCGGTCAAAACATCCGCCCAGGATCCAGATCCTCGGATCGCGCTCCATATGACTCATGAGACACAAGTCTTTCAATCTAAATATCTCCTCACGTTCAAGATCGCAGGCCCTTTGACTGGCTGGGTTGGGTGGAGTAGGAATTATGATATTGTTTTTAGGGTCCATGAATCAAAGACTCGTTCCTGTCGCCTGTGCTGTTGATTATGGGAGCCCTGGGACTCCTGGCAACCAAAGGAGTGCTCCCAGAATGGGCCCATATCGGCCCATATATCTGCGAGGATCGATTTCATTATACCTAGGAGTGACCCTGGCTGAAATCGTTCTCACCGTGTCTTAATGATCTCACCGTGTCTTAATGATCTCAAATCATACGAACTAGAATACAAATACACTTGCCCTGCAATAAGCACATCAACTTCCGGTATAACGCCCTATCCAAAAAATTATTTTGCAAGGTCGGATTTTTCGATGAGTACATACAAACAGCAGTGTATATAGTTGAGGTAGCCTGCATATCGCTTGTCAAGTTAGTCTACCCAAGTATACCAAAATACGATTCCGTACCTAGCCTAGTGGGCTGTAGTTTATCCAACTCTCCCCCGTAAACTATAGACGTTCGGCTGAGGGCGGTGCATGAAGCTGTTTTGCCTGCCTCTGCATCCAATTATAGGCCTTCCTCTGGGTGCTCAACACACCCTATAGACTGCATTAGCCACAGACAGAACAGAAGGAAGAGGAGAATATATGGCCTCCGTGAAAGTACTCACCACTCTCGTTAATCACTTTACCACTTCTATAACGGAACTGATAGGTATGGAGCGCCCCTTTCTACCCGCGGATTTCCCTAAAAGTGACTAGTATAGTGCATATCGCCTACTTGGTCATCTGTACGGTCCGCTAAATGGTCAGACTGCCACTAACCAGCTTTGTCTTATAGAAGATATACCAATCAATCAGGCTTGACCGGGTCTAATGGTATTAGAAGCTGCTTACAGCCTTTGCTGATAAAGAGTTTCCGAATGCCTTATAGCTTAGTCTCGGATTTCAGAATGCGCGCGTGTGGAATAGGATGACGATGATATATACGGCTATATCACTAAACGATCGAGGGAAGTGCAAAAATAGTTATACTAGTTGGTTAGCTTTATGGAGACGATAAGAAGGATCTCAAAAATATATTATATATCTAGGGCTGGCTAGGGAATTGAGGGGGAAAATAGATAGAAATTATGCTTATCGTATTTCACAGGTCCGCCGTTTACAGACTCGACAACTTTCTGCAAATATACTTTTCCACCTAGGAAGGGAAATGCAATGTAGTTCTACAGATAACTCTTAGAACGCTCGAAGAATATTTGTGCTTCCGTCTTGGGTTTCCATTGACAACTGCTCGTTATCTTCACAGGCAACTCGTGACAATTCAGAAGATCATGACATCTTGCTCTGAGAGACAGCGTAAGTTGACCACATAAACCACTTTTGTATAGCTGTGTTGCATTGATGATCCTGAGGATGTTTCGGTTATGATAGATAGTAAAGCCTTGTAGAAGTGGAAGAAATTTCAAAGACACTAAAACATCTATATATGTTATATTGAGTCTATAGAGAAGGAAAGATTCGAGATGGCTTTAAGTAGAGGGTGGCTAGAGGTAACAGGTACAGTGGGTAGTCTTGTAGCAACAATATTGAGGATTATAATCAGTGGAAGGTCAAGTCAATGGCTAAAGTTGTTTGTTAGCATCCATGCATTTGTTGGTAACATGTGACCAGCCCCAGTTCCCACTACATAGTACACAGATTGTCTACTTTATTTGCTCTTTTCGATCATCTCTCCTCTCCATCTCTCCTCTCTCACTGTCTATCGCCTCCCACTAACCTTCCTCCCACCAACCATCGTCTATCCTCATTCATCTCAAAAGTCTCAACTCGGTGGTTAGTCCTTCAACTGCACGACCTCTCAACCCTTTTCATACGATATCACAGGTGAGAGCCTTGTGCACCACCTCACTTCAGCTTTACCAAGGACGATCTTCCGAGCGAATGTTCAAGGCTCCCTCTGGGACCTCTTGTAACGCAAACGAAATGGCCCCAAGCTCTGTGCGGAGTTTGAAAGACGACTGCAAGAAGTAAGTGCCATGACTGAAAATGGTTCTTTGCTGTTACTAATTCGACTTAGGATAAAAGGACCAATAACGACAATCATGGTCGGAGGATCAAAAGAAATTTTTCATATCCACGAATCTATCCTCCGCGCTTCTTCTCTGTTTTTCCAGAAGGCTATATCCGGGCCATGGACGGAATCCATGGAGGGTACTGTTTTACTCCCGGAAGATGACCCTTAGATATTCGCTCTCTACTCACACTGGCTTTACTTTGCTAAAATCCCTGTGATTGTTGAATGTACGAAAAAGGAAGACTCAGGAAAGAACCGCAACGAGGAGTACTGGGCTCTTATCAAGGCATATATACTCGGTGATAAGGTACTCGGTGTGAAGTTTTAAAATGCGGTCATCGACGCAATTGTTGAAAAATGCTCTACGCCCGACGCATACAATGGATTTTGTTACTATCCCCATGGACACATTGTCAACTACATATACGAAAATACGACTGAGTCTTCCAAAATCCGCAATCTGTTTGTGGATATGCACGTGGACACTGGGGGGCCCAAATGGCTCACCAGAGAACTTCCACCGGAATTTCTCTATTCGGTTGTTGAAGGTCTCATGAAGAAAAGAACGTCTTCTTTAAATCCAATCCAATCATCCGATTATCATGTGCAACCCTCGGTGGATTGACCTGGAGGGCCTTGTGTAGGCTTCAGGGTTCAATCTCAGCGTCTTCGAACAACACTGAAGTTTCCCTTGAGGATCAAATTTATCATGAATTACCATGTTGTGTTTTTATTACCTATTTCCCTAACCAGCCTGTGAAGCAAACCTTTCTTTCTTTGTCTCACTCCTCCTTGAGTCTAATCAGGGCTTGATTTGAGGTACCAGTATTGCCCCCTGGGTAAGATCGTCTGTTCTCAGCAAGCACCAACAAGAGGACTCAGCACGCAGAGAAGTGAGATCGTTTTTGATTGGTATCTGCATCTTGAGTCGCCCGTCCTTAATTAACCAGGCTCTGCAAATTATTTGACGATTTGACGAATACATTACAATGACTGGTCAGATCGGACTTACACTCTGAAACTCCTATTCAGTAATTCCAACTATGTTTCTAGTTTTGTTAGATTGCTGGTCGAGTCCACCATGCTAAAAAAAAAGCTCATCGGTAGTTGGCACCTTGGGATAGTCTCGGCATCTTCAAAAATAAGGAAGCGGCACTTGGACATAGACGATCACAATGTAGATGTCTACCCCGATGCTACCGCGACCAAAATCTAATTTGGGTTAGGGCCGTGTACTCCGTACAGCAGCTATTGATGCACCTGCTGGCCTTCCTATTGGCGTTACCAAGTATTCCGTCTTCTATTTCGCGCGACGCCGCTATCGCCGTGTCATTTCGCTAATGTTTTCCTACAGCTCCCTATTTTCTCCAGGCACGGGCCATTTGAAACCAGTTCAATGCAACCAATAGCCCCTCGAATATTCCACATTAATTGAATTAGCATGCATGCCGTCGCTAGTTGTGGCGAGGCCCGAAATGATAGCCCATATTGCGTATGGTTATTTTGCCACTATAATAATAGTGATTCTTGCAAATTCCGGCATGCTTTCTTTTGCTAATTTTTCCTTTCGAATTTCATATTCGTTGAGCAACATTCGAACATGGCTGGTCTAATAGCACTAGGAATATGTGGGTTGGTAATATACATTGCCGCTAAAAGCATCTATCGGTTGTATTTCCACCCTCTGAGCAAAATTCCCGGGCCAAAACTTGCCGCTATCACAAGCGGCTATGAATTTTATTTCAATGTGATCAAGGGAGGAACGTTCATCTGGGAGATGGAGAGGCTGCATGAGATATACGGTCAATTTCACCAAGCACATGCAGTATCATCATTCTAATTATTCATTAGGACCCATTATACGCATTGCCCCTCTTGAGGTTCGTATCAAGGATTCTAACTATTACGATGAGATATACGCCTCTAGCAAGCGCAGACGCGAAAAGTCCGCTGAGTCAGTCGCTCGATTCGATCTCAAGGATGCGGCATTTTCTAGTATCTCACCAGAGGACCATCGAAAGCGGCGTTCCCATATTGAGAAGCACTTTTCGAAGCAGGCAGTCTCCAACATGGAGTATTTGATATATGAGAATATTGACAAACTCAATCACCATTTCAAACGCGCTTTCGAATTCCAAAAGGTCATCAGCCTCGACGCTGGCTTTGCTGGGCTGACCTCCGATGTCATTCACAAATATATCTATGGTTTCAACAGTGGAAATCTTGACCACGATGACTTCAACATGAGTGTGAGAGACGGAATGAATGGACTTTTCAAATTCTCTCACCTGTTATTCTTTTTCCCAGTCTTTCAAACTATCCTGAACTCGCTTCCGTTGTGGTTGCTCGAAAAGCTTGATCCATTTGTGCATGCACTAGTGAGCCAGAAGTTGGACCTTCTTCGTCGGACAGAGGAATTCCTGCAAAATAAGCCGTCAACATCGAAAAGTCGCTCCGTCATGGAAGTTATGTGTGGCCCCAGTATGCCGGAGGATATGCGCAGTGCTGCTCGGCTTAACAATGAGGGATTTGCCATGATTATCGGTGGTACCGAGACAACTACCCGAACGCTAGTTATTGCCGCGTTTCACATCGTGGAGAATGTGTCGATTAAAACCAAGTTGCGAGAGGAACTGCGGACGGTGATGCCCACTCCTGAGTCTCGACCAACCTGCAGGCAGCTTGAACAGTTGCCATATCTGGTAAGTCCTCTTTTACATGATGTAATAATGGGCCTTTTATGGTCTTTTTATGCTCTCAACAACTGACCGATTCCTTCTTATAGTCTGCAGTGGTGTCAGAATCATTACGTGTGTCTATTGGAATCGCAAGTCGATCAGCTCGTGCCGCACCCAATGAAGCATTGGTCTACAAGAATCACACCATTCCTGCTGGAGTATGTGTAGTCATTTTTAATAGCTCCGATCCCAGAATGTGTATTGACATGACCGAAATCTAGATGCTAGTCAGTGAGTCCAACTATTTTGTTCTCACGGACCCCGAAATCTTCCCCAACCCACACACCTTCGATCCAGACCGATGGCTACGTGCTGCTGCGAAAGGGGAGCATCTGGATAAATATATGGTCAACTTTTCCAAAGGCAGTCGGATATGTTTGGGCATAAAGTACGTTGCTTAAACCAACCCCCTTCATTCCCAATATCTAATCGACGTAATATTACAGCTTGGCCTACGCGGAGCTGTTTCTTGTACTAGCGGCTTTTGTCCGTCGTTTTGACATGGAACTGTTTGAGACAAGCGAAAAGGACATTGCTTTTGCGCGCGATTTTGGAACCCCGCACCCAGATGAGGGGAATTGCCGCGTTCGGGCTATTGTCACAAGGTTGATGGAATAGTGAGCCTTCCATCGGAATTCAATGTGTGTTCCGATTTGCAAGAAAAAGAGGCCAAAAAGGAGGGTAGCATAGTATAGCCTGTTCAAACCTGGGATATGAACTATATTATGACCTACTGAGTGTTGTAAGAAATGGTGCCGTCATAGCCGATATTTGAGACCAATGATGTACACTCCTATATTAGAATTCCGAAAAGGGAAGGACATGCATGTCAGAACGTTATCTCCGTGTTAAGTCCGAAAAGGCTTGTGCAACTTTATTTTGGAAGGAGCCACCACATTCCTTGTTCCAACAGTAACAGGACACATCCTCCGAGATCTCTTATCCCATCCTTTCATCGCGTCCAGGTTCAAGACATCCAAAATGCCTTCGGATAACCACGTCAAAGCGGGCTTGTCTCTTATCGAGGACAAGTCCAAGGTCCTTGGCTTGACCATTGGCACTCATGAGAATGTCCAGCCTGGAACATGGTTTCCCCGCAAAGGTACAAACCAGTCCAGTTCATTCCATCCCCTGACCTCTTCTCCCCTTCACCCTTCCCCAAGTCGTGTGACAGACAATCGAAATATGAACTGACAAAAACCACAGCAGCTCAAGAGCCCCCGAAGCTCTTCTTCGCTGGCGCCAACCCCACCAGCACCTACATGGTTGTGGGCTTGGATATTGACGCTCCTTTCCCTTCCTTTGGTATCCTCGGCCCCATACTCCACTGGATCCAGTCCGATATCAAAGTCACCAGCGAGGGTGCACTCGAGTTCGACGCACCGTTTGTCGCCAATTACATCGGCCCTGCTCCCCCTCCTGGGAGCGCACCCCATCGTTACATCTTTTTCCTGTACGAACAACCTGCAGACTTCGATCCCACGGCCTATGCACCTGCTGATGGCAAGAAGCTTGGCAATTGGAATCGCATGCGGTACGATCTTGATGCTTGGGCAGAGGAGATCAAGCTTGGTCCTCTTGTGGCTTTCAACTATCTCACCTCCAACTAGCCGGTTTCGGGGTCAACATGAGTCGGATTTATGGTTTGATGAAGTTTGAAGGGGAGGATATGCGCTTGTTGTGGTAATTTTTATTCTCGAGTCCAGGAGGAATAATTGGGCTCATTAACTGTCAGCCAATGGATTTTCCAAGATTGTTTTACTTTGGTTAAGTTAGTCAACAATTCTCAACTATTCAACATAATATCCTATACTGTAAACACCAGAGGCACAAATGTATCCTCCCTTGTCTCTGGTATTTGACTGTAATAGATGCACAAAGGGCTTCTCGCTGAACCACTTAACCTGGAATTCTGCTGGATATTTTCGGATATATATCTTACAGCCTTCAGCTTCAGGCGTTAAAGTAGAAGACTGGGACATGAAAGGGGCATTTCATAATTTCTTTGTTGATTTTTTGTCTGACAATGCCATTGTTGCGGTGCCATCAATTAGTTTAAAAGCGCAACTAGCTTCTCCCACAACGAGATTCTGGATTCAATTTCATAGATACCTCGTCATTGGTTCGCTTTTGAGTCCCCTCATAGAGGTAGAATTAGTGTGGACCTTTTTCATCGGGGAAGATGACTTCCAACAAGCCGGTAGACAAGCCGGTAGACAAGCTGGTCGACAATCTGAAGGGTTTGGTCATCGGTGCCAGTGGTGCAATCCCTGGATACCAACATGGTATGTTTTCCTTCAAATAGAATCAGAGTTAAGATAGAGAGGTATTTACTAGATATAATTTGATGAATGACACCCGGTGATATAGCAGAAATCAAGCGGATGGTCGAAAGGTGTGGTGCGAAATTTGCCTCGATGAATATCCGCGAATGTACTCATCTAGTGACAACCGTTGGAAATGTCAAGAGAAAGTTGAAAAAGAGTTAGTATCAATTTCCGCATCCTCTGATATAAGCGTGAACTAACACGGTGATGTCGTTTCAGTCAATCGGGCTCGTGAAGTGGAAGGTTGTGAACTTGTGAATATCGATTGGCTGATCAAGAAGATCAAAAAGAATACTCCAAAGGGTGTTCAGAAAGAAATACTCCAGCATGAAGGCAAAAAGCGTCAGCGAGATGCTTCCCTTGGGGACGACGAAGGTAACCCTTCAAAGAAAACAAAGGATGAAGAACAGATCAACCTCAAGAGGCTAATTGATTTGGTTGATGAGAAATACCCAACACCCAGTTAGTGATGCGATATAGTGTTGTTGGTTCTTTTTCAAAAGAAGAAACAATAACAAAAAAGGCTTGAATCTCTAACACTTTGTTCTTAGGTAGTACGCTTTCCGTTTACCAGGACGACACGGGGTTGATATGGGATGCCACATTGGTCAGACATGATGTGAAAAGACAAGTCGAAGTTTTGCGCATCCAACTTCTCGTTGATCGCAAGTCACAGAAATTTCACACGTGGGAATTGAGTTACCAATTTGAATCATCCGAGGAATCAACTTCAATTGGCGATGTCGGAAGCTTCGACTCGGCCAAGCATACATTTGAAACAAAATTCAAGTCGTACAGTTGTCTATCCTGGGAAGATCGGCACGCTGCCTCCCGTTCTAAAGGCTGGGTTTTCCTCGAAATGCACGACAGGGAGATTCCCATTCTCTCCAGCGAGGCCAGTCCGTTGCCTGCAAGCGTTGAAAATGTTTTGAAAATCATCTTTACATCAGGAAATTTGAATAACTATGTCAATTTGCTACACAATCACGGGCGCAGAATTTTACTTGGAACCACAGTAGACAAGAAAAGACTCCTGATTGGGACTGCTGTTTTGGGCAAGCTGATGGAGCTCACCAACCCTCTGCCGACACTTGATCACAATTACATTAAGAAAAGATTGTGCAAGATATACGAAAGCCTGATTCTCAATAATGGGACTCTTTCAGACGCCAATGATACTGTCAGACAGGAATTGGAATCCCTCGATCTCTTACTCAAGTTGCGTGATGCTAGTGAGATTCTGGAAAAGAAATCCCACTCTTCCTCATTGGCGATGAGCCAAATAACCCAGGTGCTTGGTTTGGCAACAATGATACCAGGTAAATATCCGTTGAGTCTTCCTTTTGTAATTCTTTGGGTGCTTTGCGAAAGGCCAAAGCATGAAACTGACCTTTTTTGACAGTGAAGAGAAATTCGACGGAGTTCAAGATGCTCCAGGAGTATATTGAAAAGACTTCTAGTCCAAGCCACTCGTATCAATTTAATGCAAGTCACGTCCAAATCATAGTGGCAAAGGTCCTAATCTAACCCTTTCGCATTCCTAGGAGATCATCGGCATATTCCGTCTCCAGCGTCCCGGGGAAGCAGAGCGTTTTGCCCAGTGGGAAATGGCAAACTTTGCTAATATTGGAGATCGCCGACTTCTGTGGCATGGCTCTGTGGTTAGCAACTTTGCAGGGATCTTGAGTCAAGGGCTGCGTGGCGATGGAATCGTCAGTATTGCTGGGAAGCACTTTATTCCTGGAGTATTCTTTGCCGATATGTCTACAAAGTCGGCAGGATATTGCCGACAGCAAGGGGAAGCTTTGATGTTGCTGTGTGAAGTTGAACTAGGCAAATCCTCAGCCATTGCAACTCGCTGCGTTGGCAACACTGTCCATAGAGAATGGCGCGATGCTGGGTATATCCACTCAGATCTCAAGGGGTGCCTGGTGCCAGATGTTCACGCCGGAACAAAGACTACAAGAGAGAGCTCGCGTTATTATCACTCCGAGTATGTGGCAAAAAATCCAGCACAGGTTCGTCAACGGTATTTGTTCCACGTCAAAATTGTTTGATTTGTCAAGAACTTCAGGGCGAAGATGTTTGAGGGGTTTGGTTTGGGAACTACAGAATGCTGAACTTTTCCTATCATCTGTTTAAATTTATGATAGTGCAATACAATATTGATGTTCTCCATTACATCCGGTAGTAGGTGAATATGTATGTTTAATGTTGTATCGGTATAAGATAGCTAGGGCATTGAATATCAGGTGGTCTTGTCTTGGCACTTCCAAGGTTCCCCTGCGATGGGGCATTTCCCCTCACCCCGGTTACATTTGGAATTTACGACCTACCACTGACACTTTCTTGTAACTCTCCTCTTAAAGTTTTCTTTTTTTTTCTGTCTCAATTTATTCAGGTCATGATTTATTTTTGGACTGCCGCTCTGGTAGTAACTGCTGCGGCACAGTACTTTCCGCCCATACCAGATGGGTTGAAGGTAGTTGAATCGCAGCATCAAAAGGGAGTAAAGATTTCATACAAACAGGTGCGATTCCTTCCAATTCTTCTATCCAAAGATTATGAGGGTCGTTTATATCACATGATCCCATACTAATGACTCACATAGCCTGGGATCTGTGAAACAACTCCAGGGGTGAGATCATATTCGGGTTACGTCCATCTACCCCCAGGCTCTCTGGACGATGTAAATGTTGATCAAGATTACCCAATCAATACTTTCTTCTGGTTTTTTGAGGCTCGTCATAACCCAAAGAATGCGCCACTGTCCATATGGATGAATGGAGGCCCAGGAAGTTCCTCTATGATTGGCCTTATGCAGGAAAATGGACCCTGTCTAGTCAACGAGGATTCCAATTCCACAGAGCTTAATCCCTGGTCCTGGAATAACTATGTCAATATGTTGTATATTGACCAGCCAAACCAGGTCGGCTTCAGTTATGATGTCCCGACCAATGGTACTTTTGATCAAGTTCAAGGGGCTTGGAACTTGTCGGATTGGGTCGGAGTGCCCAAGCAGAACAACACTTTCTACGTCGGTACGACAGCTAGTCAGGATAAGTCGAGGGTAGCTAATAGTACCGAGAATTCCGCGCGGTCACTATGGCACTTTGCCCAAACCTGGTTCACCGAGTTTCCACACTACAAACCCCATGATGAGCGGGTTAGCATCTGGACTGAGTCATACGGCGGTCGCTACGGTCCGTCTTTTACTGCCTTCTTCCAGGAACAAAATGAAAAGATAAAGAATGGCAGCATCGATACCCCGGGGGAATCGCACTATATTCACCTGGATACACTGGGCATCATCAACGGATGCATCGATCTCCTGGTACAGGAGCCAACATATCCAGTAATGGCATACAACAATACCTATGACATCCAGACCATCAACAAGACCGTATATGATCACGCCATGGATGCATGGAATCGCCCCGGTGGATGCAAAGACCTGATTACGCATTGTCGCGCGCTGGCTGCAGAGGGTGATCCGCAAATGCACGGCAACAATGAAACCGTCAACAAAGCGTGCCACAACGCCGACAGGTTCTGCAGCAACAATGTCGAAGGTGCATACGTAGAGTATGCAGACCGTGGCTACTACGACATTACCCACAAGAACCCAGACCCTTTCCCGCCGTCCTACTACTTGGGTTGGTTGAACCAGCACTGGGTGCAAGGCGCACTGGGCGTCCCGATTAACTTCACCCAATCAAGTGACGGTGCCTACAACGCTTTCAAATCCGTCGGAGACTATCCGCGTTCTGATGTGCATGGCTACCTCGAGGACCTGGCGTACGTGCTCGACTCTGGTATTAAGGTCGCGCTCGTCTACGGTGACAGCGATTACGCTTGCAACTGGATTGGAGGCGAAGACGCCAGTTTGTTGGTCAACCATGCTGGAGCTTCTAGTTTCCGGTCTGCTGGGTACACGCCTCTACGCACGAACTCCTCGTATATTGGAGGCCAGGTCCGGCAGCATGGCAACTTTTCTTTCACCCGTGTCTACAATGCTGGTCATGAAGTCCCGGCCTACCAGCCACAAACTGCATATGAAATCTTCTACCGTGCGCTCTTCAACCGCGATCTGGCCACAGGCAAGATCAATACTGCGCGGAATAGCTCATATACCACGGAGGGGCCTGCCTCTACTTGGCATATCAAGAACAAGGCCTCGGACAGTCCGGATCCGGTCTGTTATATTCTTGCTCTGGAGTCGACATGCACTGAAGACCAGATTGCAAGTGTGGTCAATGGTACAGCTGTTATTCGTGATTATATCGTTGTGGACGAGAAGTTGGAGTAGACTGACTTCATGCAAACTTTGTGCACATTGTCGTTCTTTATGTATCTTACTAGCACGTTCATAAAATCACAAATAGAAACGCGTATCCTTTATTCTTCTACAAATGACCTCTTATATAGCCATATCCTCCCATGCTCGGTATACATTACGCTCCTCGCCTACAGCTGAGGCACATATCTCGAACCATACTTGCTCGGACGGCTCGGTGAACGCTCGATCAATTCAAGAAGGTTATGAATGGCACACACGTGGGTGTCTCGCATTTTGAGCACGATAGAAGAACCCGGGGGGTTCTAAGCTGTGGCAGCCATATACCTACATGTAGATGCAGTCAACTTACTGACGCGAGTTTCCGATGGCCGAAGCAGTACCTCCTTTTCCAGCAGACGCTTCTCCACCGATGTATAGTGATGATCATTCGATTCCTGAGACTGGCTGTAACGGAAACTTAGAGAGTAAAATTCAAGTCGGTAAACCTTGCCCTGGGTTTGGAGCTCCTCCTTTGAGTCCGCAAGGTACTGAACGCTGTACCTGAGAATCGCGGTGTTCAAAGGTTCCCTGATATTCTCGACAAGGGGTGGCGACATTCTAATAGACAGCCCTGTTGTAGAGAATAGTTCACCGCGAGGAGTATCGTCAGTTCGCCCGATTGCTTGGGTGCTCTTCGAGACTCCACGATTGTCATTACATTGCATGGAGGTTCGCGTCATGTGGGTTCGGCCCGAGCCGTTGTGGCACCCGATTCGACGGATGGCGGATCTGAAAACTGGGTCTCTGCTTTTCGCCAAGTACCTACATAGTCCCCTAGGAATGTCTCATCAAGAGTTAGTGTGAGTTTCAGGCATGATCCTCGTGTCTGAATACTTACCATGCTAACATGTTGTCCACTACCAGACAATGAAAAGACCTCAATGTTCTCCTGTCGTCTCCAAACCTGATCGTATTGATTTTGATACCAGGGAAACAGGGAGCATAGTCTTTGGGGATGGCGTTGAACGGTTCTCTAGCAATGGCTTTGTTAGATGGCGAAGACTTTTGTGAAACATGGAGACTGGGGTAATATTATGGATTCGCGACTTCCTAGAAGGCATTCGGAATCGCCCTGGTAGTCCGATTCAATCCGAACAAGAGCCCTCTTCGAGGGAAGTGCATGCGTGTCCGAAGGAGTATTCGATTCAAAGTCCTGCCAATGCATTGAGCAGTCACGCGTCTCATGTCCCCTGCTGTGAACCCCACGAAGCAAGTGTAAGACGGCAGGTAAAACCGAATGAATATAGGACTCGCTCATCAATCGATCCAGGTCGGGGAGATTGCGGCGAGGGTATTGGAGAAGGTTTGGGTTGCTTGACTGAGCGGGCAAATCTCCCAAGTGTTAACTCGTGTTACGTGAGGATCAATCTTTCAGTGCGAGTCAAGCATATGGATAGCACTTATCTGAGGCATCATATAGAATATGGAAACCTGAAGTGGGAGGATATACAGTGTGTGACTTTCCAAAGTAATTAATCAATTATATCAATTATTGAGACCAAATTACATGTTTAGAGATAGACTTAGGTGTGATATCATGAAGCTCGTAAGAAGGAGACACCCAAGTAATTGCGTACCTCCCCGATTGGGTGCCTTCCCTTTTTGGGTCAAAAACCGTCACCCACCCCAGTTTCCCCATTACCTTAAGCCACAGGGAAGGTATAAGTACCTCCCCCCTCCCACTCTTTCTCTCTTCTTCTTTCTTTCTTTCTTTCTTCTTCAACCCTCCGGGCCCACATTGCACTCCGT